GCAGTATGGGCTTACCGAACAGCCTTCAAAACGCCGATTGGTATGACACCGTTCCAACTTGACTACGGAAAAGCATGTCATCTACCGGTTGAGCTCGAGCACAAAGCTTATTGGGCAATCAAGGCGCTCAACTATGACATGAAGACCGCTGCAGAGAAACGCGTGCTCCAGCTACACCATCTTGAGGAGATCAGACTTGACGCGTACGAGAACGCGAAAATCTACAAGGAGAGAGCGAAGAAATGGCATGATCGACACATCATTCCGCGATCATTCCACTCAGGTGATCTTGTCCTTCTCTTCAACTCTCGTTTGCGATTGTTTCCAGGTAAGCTGAAGTCTAAGTGGTCTGGTCGGTTCAAGATTCATCGAGTCTATGACCACGGCGCAATTGAGCTGTATAACGGCACGGGTGGTACGTTCAAGGTAAATGCACAGCGTCTGAAGCTGTATAACCCGGCCGACCCTGCAGGTGAGAGAGGTGTTCTTCCTCTCACAGTACCTCCATCAGCCTGAGTTCATGTACGGTCTAGCTAATGACCATAAAGAAGCGCTTCTCGGGAGGCAACCCGGGGTTTTTGTTTTGTTTTTGAGATGTTGTTTGGGTTTTAGACTTTTTCTTTTTGGATTTGGGAGCCTACATGGTGTTTTCCCTTGGGTACAGGGATATAGAACTTGATTCGCAGGTCATCGAGCGCAGAAACGGAGTTCAGATCGTGTCACAGAGTTTTGACTCGGTCCGAGTCAAGTGTTGACTCGACCGAGTCAATTCGCAACAGATGGTGAATCGGCAAGGTAAACTGACTCGACCGAGACAAGTGTTGACTCGGACCGAGTCAGAGTTTCGAAACCCTACTTATTTGACTCAGCCGATTTTTTTATGCCCACTTCTTCCCCTTTTCTCGCAAAAAATCCTCTCTTCCCCGGTTTCGTCACTCCGAGTCATTGCCTTCGATTTCATAACCGAAATCCATCCGGTATGTATTTCCGCCCTTAGATTTTGCAGATTATGGACGATTCATGCCTATTTCGCACATTTATTCTGGATTTGTGAAGGATTTTTGGGTTGAGAGCGAGATTTATGCTTTTCACCAAATCGGGATGTTTTTATGCGTTTTTGAGTGATTGGAACACAGATCTCTGCACATACATGCCTATTCTTGATTACCCATAAGTTATTTCGATTGATTTCGGCGATTTCAGGAGTTTTTAGCGCAGTGTTTCGTTCGGCGGAACGAACAGCGTTTTGACTCGGTCCGAGTCAAGTTGTGACTCGACCGAGGCAAAACGCGGAATATCAGTGAGGACCGCGTGTTGACTCGGTCCGAGTCAAGTGTTGACTCGACCGAGGCAACATGTATTACATTGACAGCACGTTCTGACTCAGCCCTAGCAGTCTTGACTCGGCCGAGTCAGTCTTCTGTGCGATATCCGGGCCTTTTTCCACTCGTTTTGGCGATCCCGGTCGCACTCACCTGTCTTTGTCTTGAGTTTCAGATGGCCACCCGCAAGACTAAAGCTAGGGCATCCGACGTTCACGAGGACCACATTCCACCTCTTGCTCCTTTTCAACCGCGGGCGGACGCAGTGATGACCCTGACCCCTCCGACGATCGTAGTCAGCGATACCGACCACGAGCCTCGCTTCCG